CGCTCTGCGGAACACGCGTGCGTGAGCCATGGACCGGCCCCGTGGTCCTTCGATGGGGCTGGGGCTCCTTGTCCGTTCCACGGACCGGGGCTCTGGTTTCCGGGGAATTTCATTTAATTAAACAATTAAACACAAAGTTAGCCCTTTGTCCCCCCAGATAAGCACAAGAGAGTTTATTCATGTGTTCCCTTGTGGTTCTTCCCTAGGCAAGTGTTGCTCGTTACCATAACCCGGTTTCAGTTCATAGTGCTCTTTTGCAACAAACAGCAGCTCCCGGGATCGCCAGTAACAGCGTGGGATCGATAGCCAAGCAGTGCTCTGTTTGCAGGGTTTCCCTGAGCAGAGCTTTCTTTTCTTCACTCCTGATTCTGATTTTGTGGTGTATTTTGTACTTTAAACAGCCTGCCTTAATGCCTTGTTGATATTTGACAGATTCAATGCTGATCTGCAAAGATAAAAGCAATTTATCATTGAATTTACTGATTGATAGAAAAATAACACCATTCAAATTTCATTGCAGAAACCCATATATCTGTTGGGGAAATGTGTGCATAAAACAGTTTCTTTCCTTTAAGAGTACCCGATAAATGCAACCCATGTGCTCTGGTTATAGTCCTTTTTCAGCCATTAGCAGTGGGATTGACCAGCTGAGTGATAAAAGACGCACTAATTCTTCCCGCTTCGTTTGATTCAGCATGTTTTCCTGCAATGAGGCAGTAGAAGGGAATTTCAAATTGCCAGGTTAATTTTATTAGGACACCAGTAACGTTTCCAGTGGTGTGGAAACACCACATGATTCAGTGGCCAATATCCTGTAGTTATAGGATTCCTCTGAAAGCCGCCCGTAAAGCCTGCGCTGCCCCAGCCAACGCTCGCGCACACGAGATCCCTCCCAGGGATCCTGGAAGATCCCTTCCCCTGCCGCGAAGTCTCAGCTGGCTGTGCAGCTGCTAACTCCATACAGCAGTGGAAATCCACCCTGGAGCTCTGGATAAACGCTGTCTGCTCCCCTTGGGGTTCACACTGAGCTCTTTGAGGTGGTCATTTCATCTTCTCCAAGCCCAAGGGAACCGACCTTAGGAGCAAGTACAGAGGAGCCCTAAGGCAGCAGGCACAGCCCTGCCCAGAGCCACAGCCAGCAGACTGGGTGCCGGAGGCACTGGGAACCAGGCGCTGGTTCTCGTGGCACCAGTCGGTTAATAAACCCCTTTGCTGGACACAACAGGGGATGCAGCTGCTCTCTGCCGCTCCTCTTTAAGTGACCTAATTTGATGCAACTCTTTACAGCATCCCTTTGAGACAAATAATCAGCTACTAGCCTTCTTTTCATGGATTTTTTCTTACCAATACACCACATTCTCGATGGGATGAGAAGCAGAACAAACCAGAATATTACTCCACATGAAGCTTGTAGTCTTTGTATCATTCAGAGCGCAGGAAAGCCAAAGGCCATACCCAAGGCCAGGGATGACATGGTAAGAACAGAAGTAGGGAAATGCAGATGATTTGCTCTGTACGAGTCTATACATATATATGTGCTGTTTAGTTCTCAGCCGCTGAGTTTTTCCTGGAACTGCTCGTGCAAGTAGGAAAGCAAAGTCTGGAGATATGTCCAAAGCTCTGGGAGGTCTACATGCATGGTTCTCCTTCAAACCCTAGTTAGAACAACTCTGAATGGCAATACTATCAAAATCATGAGAGTTGACCTAACAGCACTCAGGTTATAAGAGATTTCAAAAAGGAACACACAGTTATTCAAAGATTTGTGATCTTCAATGTGCTTTAGCCAAATTTTTTGCGTTTAGCATTGATAAGTTCTACCTGATTCTAAAAATAAATCCAGTATCCAATAAATGTAATTACCCCGAGGAATTACAGAGGCATCCCTGAACCATGCTTATGCTGTTCCAGGTATTCATTCCAGGATGAAGAAGATATGTTTATGGTTGTGGACCTGCTGCTTGGAGGGGACCTGCGTTACCATCTCCAACAGAACGTGCGGTTCCAGGAAGGCACCGTAAAACTCTTCATCTGTGAGCTGGTGCTGGCCCTCGACTACCTCCAGAGCAGGCACATCATCCACAGGTCAGTGGGGACCTCGCGGGTGGACTGATGCTCGCAGACTGCAGTAGGGTCGGACCTGTTCCTCTGTGATATGGAAGGACAATTAGAAGCTTCGGAGCTAAACCAAATGCTCTCTCACAGATGTTGGCTTTTGTGTAAAGCACTCGGCTTCCCAGAGAACAGCACTTCGTATACAACAGGGAGGATGTTCGTTCTCCCCCTGAGATAGCTGTGATATGGCATGTTTGGTTTGTTTGCTGATCCTGCAAAATGCTGTCTCTAATAGGTTTAATTAGCTGTAGCTCGTTAATACCCGTCCTGGTCTCGGGAGGGTAAGTGTCAGCGTTCAGCATTCCCCTGCTGTCGCGCTCGCAGGTGTCTCCCTTTTGCTCCCCTCTCTTACTGCCCTGAAAGACAAGAAATGGGACCAAACACAGCTTTTTCGTGAAGGAAGTTAAATCCCTTTCTCAAAGTGGTGAGAGTTTCTTTTTGGCCACCAAGATTTTTCGTGACCGGTAAAAAATATTTGAGCTCTTCCCACACAGTCAAAGACCTACAAAGTAAGAGAGGAGGTAGAGCTTTTCCCTGCTGGAGAGGCAGGTTTGTCTGTGGACGGACAGATGCGCGGCTGTTTCCTGCCGGTGTCCTGGGCAACGCGCATCTTGGGGGTCCAAGGGTTTTGCTTAGTGGCTGCTAACACGGGGTGTGAACAGGGAGAGACTAGTGGGGGGGTAGTAAAGGCAGGGGCAAGATTATCTCCTTCATAGATATCACTCCAGAAGAACATCTTGTGTAAAAATGAAGCATGGTACGGCATTTAAAATTGAAAGGATCCTGGCTGTTAGTAGAGGAAGGAACGCGCTGCCGAAGGGCTGATGAAGATTAACGCTTGCTCATGTCCGTAGCGTTTCTCGGCCGTTTCTGAGCTGTGTGAGCAGAGAGGCTGTCGCACAGCGTGCCGGCAGTGTGCCAGCAGTGTGCCAGCAGCGTGCCAGCAGTGTGCCTCCCGTGGCCATGGGAGACCCAGGGCTCGGGGGGGTTTTGCTCTGCTTCGCCCGGAGCCAGCGCTCCGTGGGGAGAGCTCCTGCTTTCTCAGGAGTCTCATCTTTCCTGCTGCTTGTTTTGGTTAGTACCTGCATAGATTTCTGCTCTGATGCACCTGACCTTGGCGGGTACAACATCTCGTCCCAGCTGTCCCGTCCCGGCCATCCCGCGCAGGCTCCAGCAGGCACCGCTGTGCTCTGGGACACGGTGCCCGTGTGCGGTGACGGGGGCATTGCGCTGACCGCCTCCGCCCGGCACCTGCGCGCCGGCACCAAATAATGGATGAGCATGAATTAAACATCGTGAAACGCCAACTCGGCTGTCTCTGCCCTGGGCAGGGAGGGGTGAACCCTCCTGCTGTTGGCTTGGCCTGAGCAAACTGAGTGGGGCACGGGCGTATGGGAAGCACAGGGAAGAAATCCTTCTCCATTAGTAATGTTCTGCCATCAGTAGCAGAGGTTATAGGACGAAGGGGCCGGAGGGTCTTCGCGATTTGATGCCGTAAGGATGAGTCTGCATGAGGAGACTGTTGCTCGTGACCATGGGAGACGTGCTGGCCGCGGGAGCACAGGGTGCCCGGGGGGCTGCGGGCGCCGCTCCGAGCCGTGTCCCTGCGGTCCCGTGGCCGTCGGCATTGCCGAAGGGTGCGCTGGTGTCCCGCCACGGCTGCGGCATGAGGGCCGGTTCACAGGGGACAGCCAAGGGGCAAAACTCCTGGGATTTCCCAGGGGGTTAGTGGTAAACGTTCGGGGGAAAAGCTGAACTGAGGCTGCAGTGTGTGTTTCGAGCAGCTGTATGTGCGAAGGCGAATTGAGCACAGCAAAACGTGTATGGCAGTCTGGGAAATTTACAACTTATTTAATTAACACTGTAATGCAAGTTGTTTAATTAACACTGTAACCCAGTGGGACAGTATTAGGTTGATAAAGTGACTCAGCTGAGTCAATTACACTGCAACATCTGTAACTGGGAACATCAGGAGACAGGCGAGGGATTGCTTATTTTGTGGGAACAAAGCTCTGCACAGCAAACACCAATGACAGGAATTACTTCCCACCTACGTGTAGAAGAGTGTGCAATATTTGTTAATTTTTTCAGGCTAGGAAGTGGTAAAACCAGTTTATAAAAAATAAATACACAAATAATCAATAAACAAAATTATCCCCGTTCATTGTTTGCATCCTGGGAATGATCTCATTGTGCTGGTGTAATTCCATAGGCTGCATACCAGACTGAGTGAGACCAGAAGAGGCCCCGGTGGAAATAATAATAATTTTAGAAAACACGTTGAAAACTGGATAAGAAATGAAAACATGTCTTTATGGTTCATTTCAAAACTTTGGAAACATTTTTATATCAAAGGATTCAAATACTATTTTTTTCAAACTCTTTTTGCTGAAATATTTCTTTAAGTTTTTCCTTAAATTAGTGCTTTCTCAAAAATAGCAAGTGTGGCATCCCCATTTTTCACTATTGAATATGGTGCCTCGGACCATCTGGACTGTTTGGCTCTGACCTGGGACACAGTTTTGTGGCTTTTACGGGGAAAAGCAGCCGCTTACCTGAAGCTGCCCCATTCTCCCTCGATACAGACGCCTGTCCCAGTCGTTGCCCATGGAATGGGGGGGTGGCACAAGGAGGGTGACTGGTATTTATAACCCACTGGAAGTACTTTGGGTGAGAGGAGGCCAGAGAACTGTAAGCTATTACATGATAATTGGATGTATTGTCTTTTCTTGATTCTAAGTGTCTGGGTGAATTCAAACTTTATCTTAGTGACTGCATTTTTAAAGCTAAAATCCTAAACCTGCTCGTTTCTTCCCTGCGAACCGCTGGGCTGGGGGGAAGCCGCAGCACGGCGCAGGGCGGTCGCATGCGTGCCTGCCTTGTGCACGCGACCGGCTCCTGTGGCGCGGTAATTGCCGGGTGCCTGGCACAGGCGGGTGGCAGGTGAATGGGGACTGGTGTAATTAGCTCATTAAAACCAGGTAATGTCTTGTAAAGTCACTCGGGTGGATACAGTAGGCGTATCAGGTGTATGTTTCCTCCCTCCAACAGAAAGTGCTTCCCTACGGCATTGCTATAGGTGCTATTATTTTACTGTTGTTTTTTTACTCAGGAACAAAACCTGTGGGGAACCCCTTTGTTTGTAGAAAAAGATGTTAAAATAATTTTATTTTTCCTGAGTAAATGGGGAACAGCCCTCGATATAGTACTGACACAGATTAAGAAGGAAAAGGAGGAAAAGGTAAAAACAAGCTGTAATGTTGTAGGTGGACTGCCTGGGTGCTGCTGGACCAAACCACAGCAGCTTTTGCAGCCGTAGCCCTGAACCACCACTTCTGCTTTTGTTCGATTAGTCAGTCTCGTGTGCCTAAATGAAACCCTGCAGGAACGTCAGCGCTCAAGAGCTCCAGCAAAGACACCTTCCGGGGCATGATGTCCCCCAGAGCTGGGGTTCTCCTAAAGCCTCTGCAGATGCATGTCATGTCACTTCTCTGGGCTAACAGCTGTCTCCCCTTCTCTGCCTTTCTCCTAGAGACATCAAACCTGACAACATTTTGCTGGATGAGCATGGTAAGTGCCAGTTGCTCTGCGGGCATCCAAGTTCAAGTGTTGGGGCTTACAGTTTTTCCTCACCTTGTGCTGCTTTCTCTCCCTCAGCCCTGTTAGGAATGGGACCGCCCGTCCACGCTTCGGTTGCCGTCTTTTGCTTTTTGAGGGGCAGCATCGTGCGCCTTCAGGGCGCTGGGCACCCCGTGTTGCTGCAGTGGTTTTGGGGTGCCCTAGTGTTTAATCAACACCTCCCCTGACTGACTGACCTAATGGTGTCTCTAGAAGGCACTGGTGGAGACAACACGTTTTGTGCTGCTGGTGGTCAGTTGCTTCGCAGACCTTACTTTAAACTTTCTTGGCTCTTGCTTAAAACTTACTAAAAATGTCATTTGAGTGGGAATGCTCATGTGATTGCAGGCTGGGTGTAATGTGTGCTCACAAACAGGATGAATTATGGTTGAATAGATGATCTTCATTCAGGTATTTCCTTTTCCCTTGAGCATTTGACTTTGGGAGGGAGCTCTGAAGAGGATTTGAGGCTGGGTATATTATAGATGTTGCTATCATTTTTTCTTTAGTCTTTTTCTCAGGCAAAACTCTAACTATATTCTTGCATTACTCTCTAGACACATTTTTTTTGTCCCGGCAAAGCTATCACAGTGAAGAGTTGTCTGATATTTATTAGCTTTTAACTCATTAGAAAAACACTTTGTCATTTCCTATTTTTTTAAAAAAATCTGTGTAACTGACTTGTTGTGAGAAATCTTTGTTAGCAACTACAGCACAGCACTCACAGAGAAAAAAGTCAGTACAGGGATAAGGTGCATCTGAATTCGTTATCGCTTCAGAGGCTGTAACAGAGGTCCCAAAGCTCCCGAGGAATCGCGGTGGCTCTTGTGTGTGACCGGGGTTGCCTGGCAGCACCCAAGCCCAGGCTCTACCCACTTTGCATGCGACCTCTAGTTTCAAAGCGCTAGCTAATTACTTATTTAGGAGCTGTCAGCAAAGCTGCTTCTGCCACAGCAGCCTCTGTCCTGCTTGCTTGGTGCATCTCCTGCCGTGGCCCCGTGCACGGGCCGATGCAGAGGCCGGTCCTCCCTCCTGCCAGCACCCACCGGTGCGGCGTGGCCAGCCTGGGGTGCTCCCGGCACCGCCGTGGCTCCAGGGCCGCCCTCGCACCCAGCGCTGTGCGGAGCCGCTGTGGGCTGTGTCGGGTCAATCCTCGCCAGTGGACATGGCGACCCGTGACCGTCCTCTGGGAGCCGCCTGACCTCTGTGCCCATGGGACCGGGGTGGCACGGCTGCCCACGCGGGAGCTGGGAGCGCTGGAGCCACAGAAATGCCGGTCAGCGCTCCCCGAAGACTGAAGAACAGACGGGAAAAAGCTCTGCTTGTCTCTGCAGTTGCATTCAGCTCAGCAGGACGTAACCTGCAAACTTCTGTAATGACACTGCAATTTGGGTCGATTTTTGAGCCCGTGCTCTGCTCGCTGTGATGTTTTAACTGTGTGTGGCAGAGGTTTCAGAGTCATTTCCTGTGGATGTACCCTTGGCTTCAGTGTCCTTCTGACTATGACCTGTAGTATTTCTTCTCTTCATCCGTGGCAGCAAAGGTGTGTCCTCTCATGCGTACAGAACGCTTTCTGCACACAGTTCCATTTTTTCTCGTCCCCAGAGCCACAGTTTTTGTAGTATGTTTATCTATATTTAGCCCAGTAGATTGTGCTTGGTTTTCGGTGTCTCTTCCCCTGTGGAGCGGAGCTGCAGCTCCCCGTTCCCTCTCCTCTCTGTTCACCAGGCTTTCACAACAGGGATCACAAAATATATGCAAATTGCTGATATCCATTTTTTATAATGTTGCTGATTGAAACCAGTCCCCTGAGACTGTGAAGCACCTGAAGACCTTCAGCAATCTGACTTCAGTCCCTTGGGTTTTAGACTCTTCTTGCCTCCTAACTCTGCCCTGTGGGCCGTCTTCCTTCCCGGCTGTGAAGTACCTCTCCAGCTGTGACTCCTTCACCCTTTCTGATTTACACACCGCAAGGTGCCTGTGCCTGTTACAAACTGCAGCGCCCTTTTTGCTGGTGTTGGTCACTGGTGAGGCTGTGGGAGCCCTGGTCCGATCTCTGTGTAGGATTTCAGTAGTACAATCGCCTCTCACGATGCCATGTGTTGAAAGGTGGTGTCCTGCTGCTGACCATCGTCAGCTTCACACGCACCTCGTGCCTTTGCCTCTGTCGCCCTGGTCGGTGTCATTCTGCATCACCGTATCAATTTCAGCTGAGAAATTAAAGTGAGCCATAAATACAGTGGAAGATCGGGCACATGTCTTTCTGTGCAATAAATAAAGCAATTGTTTGACATCAGAGACTTGGATGGGGTCCCACAATGAAAAACTCCTCAGCAGATGACCACCTTCAGCCGTCATTCCGAGCACAAAGTGATTTCCTACTTTAATGATAAGTCTATCGATTTGGCTCAATGACAGCTCAGCTTACCTGGGAATAAAAGAATATAACCGATGGCAGTTTCCAGGAATTGTGACTAATTCATAAGGAGTTTTTGGGCAGGTCATTTGTCTAATAAAATTGAAGAAAAGCTCAGTTTTATCTCTATTAAAACTGAGGGTTTTTTTGCGAGAGCCCTGTAATGACTTTGCTCAGTGTTATTTCTTGCACTGCTGCTGGCGGGTTCTCGAGGGCAGTGCTAGAACAAGGGGGTTCATGCCAACGTGGGCACTGTGCACGCAGCCCGTTTGCTCTCTGATCTCAGATAAGAAGGTTGCGACAGTCTCTCCGACAGCCTCCGTACTCCGCAACTCCTCATGTTTCTAGTTTCATGTTCTTTCAAATGTTACCTTACTTGAACATCTCCGTCCAGAGCCTTCTTCCCCAGCCGCGTTGGCTTGACTTGGTGATTTCCCAAGTGGGCTAGTTTGTGAAACTTGTGATTTATTTGAAGTGAATCATTTAAAAGATGCATTCGGAGAAAGGCACATCTGTGCTTAGAATATCAAATTCTTAATAAGTCTTTATGATTCGTATTTATGACAACAGCTCCCCACAAAGTGGAACAAGAGCTAGAGATGAAAGAAAAAGCAATGCAAGGACATAGAGGACGTATCCAGGCAAGGCAGCCATGTGTCATGCTTTTCTCTCGAGTGCTCCCCTGTGGTTTGATGCCCGTTCTTTCCTGGGCAGAGCAAAGAAGTGAGGTCCTGGCTGGTTTTGTGCAGCCGTGTAAGCAGCAAGGAGGGACACGTGCTCTTGACACATTGGCCGGGTACGGTGTCCACGCTCTCCCAGCAGCGCCCACGGCTCACCAGAGGGACCTCCAGTTTTCCTTTCTTCCATCAAACTCAAGCCTGATGAGCCTCGCAGAAGCAACGAGGGAATCTGTGTCGCGGTGGGACACGCAGAGACAGGTGCCCCCATGCGGGGCTGTTGGCGGGATCCTGTCCTGCCTTCCCTGGCCTGAGGCATGCCGGTGGTGGAGTGGAAATTGCCGAAGAGCTGGGTGATGACTAAAGGGAGCAGCTGAAGGATTTATTCATCCTCACCAGATACTGACATGGAGGTTGAAGTTCAGTGGTTGTGGCTTGATCGCAGGGCCTTCTGGATGAGATGGTGTCTGCACGCCCGGCCGTGGTGCCAGGAGGCATTCAGACCAGGGCTCAGCTCGAGGCAGGAGCCAGTCCCTGGCAAAGAGGCAGTCTGTGTCCCTGGAAACTCCCAGCCTGGACATGGAACATGCTGGGTCTGCCCAAAGCATGGTGGGCCGCGTGCTCCCGCTGGTCCTGATGATGTCTGATGCGCTCCTGGCCTGTTTCCAGAGCAGCCGTACGTGTCCATCCAGCCGTCCTCCATCCAGCCGTTTTCCCCAGCTGCGGGACACGCACTTTGGGTGCACGTGCTCCACTGGCCACGGCTAACATGGCGTACAGGCAAGCCCCTGCTGTGCTTCGCACACCACACATGTCCTTGGAGACGCACAGGCAGGAACACAGGAGTGATACGGTGGTTTTAGGTGAAATCACAAATTCTGCTTTATTCCCCGAATTTTCCCAGGTAGATCAGGTATTTGCAGCTGGCAAACAACAGTTACTGTTCTCAGGTAACAGATCTGTAGGCACAGTTGTAAAGATTTACTGAAACGTTTCCTAGTGTCCAACAGGAGTTCATTGCCAAAGCATCAACTTTTAGAAATGTAAAGGTGATCTTACTCTGCTTTAACTCATGATCTAACGCAGCACTGAATTTCTAGATGATGAAGCTAATGACTGAGGGAAGTATTGTCCTAGCATCTCCCTCAGTAGAAAGCCACTTTGATTTGATCTCTGTGGTTAGAGGAAACAACAGCAATTGAGCCACTCCGTGTTATTGCAGAGGAGAGTGATGAGTCTGCAAAACAACGTACAAAACACCCGACGCTTTTGGTAACGAGCCCAGCTTTGTCAGGGATGAGCAAGTTCAGTGCCTTAGGAGGTGATGCATGAGGTCAGGAAGAAGAAGAGACTGCCTGTGTTTAATCAGAAGAATTAGACCAAACTAACCCACAAGTTTCAAAGAGATCCACTTCAGTGAAGCCAGCCTTGTACTGATCACCCGTAGCGCTGACCAGGATTGGTCTGCTCACTGGGAGGAGTGTAGTGAATAAGGAATAATAAATAAAGTGCTTGGAAAAAAAAAAAAGTGCCAGTAAAAGAGTAGGCAAGAGCTAGGTGGAAGCATTTCCCTTCTTATCACTGCAAATCACATCCACCTCTTGTTTCCTGCTCAGTTTGCAGGCAGCAGCTGTGCATCTTGTAGCAGAGATATCAGAAGCCGTCCCTGCCCCGCAAGGGGTTTTTTATGATGTTTGAATTTCTTGCACAAGGCTCATTTGCTTGCTGCCAAAGGGATTTTGTTCCATTCTAGAGACATCCTCTAAAGAGGAAAATGAAGAGGGAACACCAAAGAAAGCCAAAAATATCAAGGATTTTTTTTCACCAAAAACATAGTAGAATTTGTTTCCCCCACAAATTTAGGAAAACTTAAAACAATGATCATTAAATGACTTCTTGAAAAACTCCATTTTTTCACTCCCCAAAGGGTAAATAAGGGCATATTTGATTTAACAAGATACACCTGTAAGTAGCCTGCAAGCTGGAATATTTTTCTATCAGTTCTCCACCAGAATATTTTTTTTGCCTGGAAACTTCTTTCCATGGAGTATTTTACTTCAAGTTTCTGATTCAAAGCTATTTCTCCAGTGAAATTTAAGCAAATCCGTTTATGCACTAACCTCTGTCTTTCAGGCCACGTGCACATCACCGATTTCAATATCGCCACGATGCTGACCAAGGAAGTACAAGTCACCACCATCGCTGGCACGAAGCCGTATATGGGTAAGAGCCAACGACAATTGCGTGTTCTCGAATCGCCGTTTTATGAGCTGGGTCTGGCGGCTGTGGTGGGATGCAGGCGAAGCCCATCCTGGTAAGAGTTTGAGCTCTTTTCTCCCTGGTGTGTAACAAAACCCGTGCATTTGTTTTACGTGAGGAACAACCTGGAGAGGTGTGGCGGGGGAGCGCGGTGGGGGTCCCTCCCCGTAATGCTGGCGCAGCGGGAAAACTGCTGATTTCACATAACAGACAACACAAGTGTACTGCAAACGTAGAGTTTAGTGCCATTATGCCATATTGTACAGCATGTTTTTTGATTATAAAATAGGATATTGCCCTCAGAGCAGATCTCAGAGCATTTCACGAGCAGCAGTCAAGCCGTGTAGCATGATGAAATGCTCTTGCTGCCCTTGGGAAGCCAAATGCAGCGCAAAGGCTTGTAGTTGGTCCCTCGGTACTTTAGCACGAATCTTACTCTGCTCCATCACTAGCTGATAATTTGAATTTTTATATAAACTAGCTGCTTTAAAAACTAGCATTACTTGTTTTTAGGCCAAGTGAGTGGCCTTGCTGTTCCCTCGGCTGCAGAATCTGCTCGGCACGGTGGGGAAAAGCCCGTAATGTGTGTCAGGCTGATGCAGTCAAGAGCATTGCCGTGCTGATGCCAGATCTGCGTCAGAAAGAAGCAAGTGAGGCAGTGTTTCGGTAAAGGACCAGTCTGCTAGCCATTTGCCACTGTTTTTTGGAAAAAAGCAGGCGTTGTCAAAGGCGTGGTAATGGGTAATAGGCTAATTGGTGCCCTCTGCAGAGCGGCAGGATGCTCTGTGGTGCAGAGCGAGCGTTCTGTGCTGCTCATTTCCACTCCAGACTGTAGCGAGGCAAACTTTCCTTTTTCTGTGTTTTGCAGCACCGGAAATGTTTAACTCCACAAAACCCACTGGCTATTCCTTCGCTGTGGACTGGTGGTCATTGGGAATCACTGCCTACGAGCTGCTCAGGACGCGGGTACTGTGCGCACGGCTCCTGTCCCCGTCCCCCGTTTCTTTCCTTAAATGCTCTGTTGGAAAGGTTAATGCCTCGTATGGGGGATGAAAGGGCCCAGCCAAATTCGAGGCTGTAAGGGTTATTACAGCGTAGGAAGGAGAAACCACATCTTCACCAGGGTTCTCGTGGTCACAGCTGAGCTTAGAGAGACTGTCGCAATACAGAACAGCGCGTCACGACAGTTCCCGGCTGTGCCCGAGGGCCTCCGGGGTGGTGTAAGCTGGACAGGGCAAACGAGGGACGAGTCCTGAAGTTTGGGCTGCAGCATAATTTACTTTGAGCTCCCATCCTGCAAGGAAAAAAAGAAAAATTGAAAAAAAAATCTTGTTGCTGTTGTAATAAGACTGAACAGATTGGGCAAAAGAAAACTGCAGTGTGTAAATTACTAATAAAGCACAATCCCTGCCTGCGACGTCAGCGTCCTGCTGCTAACTCAGGCAAGGGTGGGGCCCTATGGACAGATGATTAATGTTGGGGAAGTGTTGTGTAAAAGAACTGGGACAAAATTATTTAAATTATGTTCTTCTAAGCAAAAGGTTGTTTAAAGTCTTGTGAAGCTAGGAAACTTCTTCCAGTACGAGCATGCAAACCACATTTTTAAGAAACTCTATCATCAATCTTTGCAGAATGCCTAAAAAAATTTTTTTATGAATATATTTTAAAGAATATATTTTTTAAATGAATTTGAGTACCTCAAATTGTGAGTGATCAAGTTAGTACACATTAAGGGGACGTGGCTGTCTGACCTGTTGGGTGACTGAAGCCATATGTCCCCTGTAAGCACATTAATATAATATTTGAGTTTTTCATTTGCAATGTTAAATGAATTGCAGGACTGGTCATCACATTAAGTTTCTACTCGATGGCATCTACTCCCAAAGATGGGAGTAGAAATGCTGTTCGGTGTCCAAACCTGATGGCACAGCCACGATAAGATGGTGGCACCCATGGGGGTTACCACTGGGGGAAATGAAGGGAGACCTTGAGGTCCATCTAGTGTCGGTACATGTTAAGCACAATGCACCTGATTTGATCTCACAATTTATAGCTATGATTTTTTGAATATACTTTTAACACCCCACCACCACCAAAATATTGTAAAAATCTGGGAATCAAAAAATCTTTCAAAATGGAAACGCTCTACCATTGCAAATTCTCTTTCAAAGTAAGGCAATGGTATTGCTGTAGTTGGGAATTGAACGTGGAGGTGACTTTACCTGCATGGTACCACCAGCTATACATCATTTTCGATGGAGTTCCCCGGTGCTCAGCTCCTGCCCGGTGCCACTCCTGCTGCCAGCGTGCTGCCGAGTCCTCCTCAGAGACGGCACAGCCGCCTGCTTGCCGTGGCACTGGTCACAGCCAGAAGGGACGGGTCATCCTGCAGCCTGATGTCCCACCTGGGACTTGTAACCCTTCCTGGGAAGTGATTTTTTTCAGCTGCTTTGATAAGTGGGAGAAGTCCCATTCCTTTTTACTTGTGTTGTCACCAACATGAGTGAAGCGCTTAAAACAGTGGCACGTTTTATGGGGAACGTTGGGAATGCTCTAACCATAGCACTGTATGTATAAAATCCTTTTTGATAGCCCTGTAAGACACAAATATTGAAAAGGCCAAGCAAACACAAGCTGGCTAATGACCAGATTTGGGTCTTGCCCCCTGTCTGTCATGCTCTTTAAATATCTAGTTATTATTGTCGTTCTTGCTGACGTTATTACTGTGTTTGTTTCAACTGAGCTACAGTCGCGCAGGGAGAGACTTCCAACGGGAGGGCTGGGAAGCGCACAAAGAGACTGAGTTTGCAGCTGAAGCTCCTTTGCTCTGCAAGGATTTCCTGAGGTGCCTGAAAAAATAGATAAATTAAAACGCTTTCCTTGTGGCGTTTTTCACAGAGGCCGTATCACATTCGCTCCAACACGTCCACAAACGAAATCGCCCACATGTTCAAGACGGCCACAGTGATGTACCCGGCTGCCTGGTCCGCGGAGATGGTGTCGCTGATCAGAAAGGTGAGGGCAATGCTACAAAAAATGCTGAAAATAAGCAGCGTGAATCCATTATTTCACACTGGACTTATGCACAAATATTCCATTACTAGAATGAGAAAACAGGGGATGTTTTACTGACGTGGTATTAAATTGGGAACACAAAGGCGTGAGCTTAACTCCCTGTTCTGAAGCAAACGCTGATTTTTAACCTTGCACAAATTGTTTAATGCTGCCTCCTCGCCTGCTCCTGAAATGGGGATACGAGTTGTTCATAAAAGTGGGAATAAGTAGATGTAAAGGTTGTGAGCCCCTGGCACGCGCTGGCGAAGGGAATCGGA